CCCTGAATTTGGATTCTTAAAAAAGTCACTGTCATAAAAAAAAATGAAGGCACTTTTCTAGAATAAAATACACTAGATGGAAATAACAAAGAAATGCAATCTTTGACTGCATCCTGGTTATTACCAAACAACTATAACTTTTCTGTGTGTGTGAAAATTTTAAAAATAAAAAAAGTTGAGGGGAAAACAACAACAAAAAATTCGGCTCCATCTTTTTTTTTAAAAAAGATTTTATTTATTTGACAGAGAAAAACACAGCGAGAGAGGGAACACAAGCAGGGGGAGTGGGAGAGGGAGACGCAGGCTTCCCGTGGACCAGGGAGCCCGATGCGGGGCTCGATCCCAGGACCCTGGGATCATGACCTGAGCAGAAGGTAGATGCTTAACGACTGAGCCACCCAGGCGCCCCTCAGCTCCATCTTTAAAAAAAAAAAAAAAATTACCAGGGATTATGTATTGGTGGTAACTCAGAGAGAGGGAATCCCTTAAAACATGTTTTATAAGAAGCGGGATTACAGCTTTGTATATATTTGGTAAAATGTTGGGCACAGTGCCTTATGGGAGCTTAAATAATATTTTCTTAAGGACTGAAATTTAACAGAGAAACTTACAAGGGAAGAGGAATGTAGTTCCTCCTTATGAAACACCTTCATCAGTCTGATGCTTTAAGTACAACTTCTTTGGAGTTCATATTATGTTGTTTTCATTCATTGGCAATCAGGGGTTTGAGTCACCAAAATAAATCTTCAGGGTTCAGTACACAGAGTTTGCTATTGAGCAGTGTGACATATGACACCCTCTGCCCTTTAGCTACTGATGTGTCTCCAGCTTTTCCAAGCCAAAAGCAGAACCCGAGATTAGAGCAACATATATTTAAGGGTGTGTTTTGCAGATGCTGGTTGGGACATGAAGCCAAATGGAGGAGTGATTAAACGCTGAGAACAAAGGGGAAACTTCACTGGGGAAAACGTTTCTGGGAGGAGAAATTTAAGTTAACTTGAACGCATAAACTCGTCAGTTTTACCGCAGAGTGGGTACACGGGGGTGGGGGTGGGTGGGGATGTCTTGACAAAAGGACAGGGAAACCTCTCTGTAGTTCTTTGGAGGAGAGGACCTGGAGGTGTGTTGGGGGTGGGGAAGATCTTGGAAGCTGGGGATTTCTTCTGGACTTCAGGGAGAAATGATGGAACCAAAGGGAGAAATTCAAAGCAGGTTAATGAATTCATTCTGGTATTCGTGAATTCAAAGCAGAGTCTCATCAGCTCTGTCCTCCATCTTCTGTTTGCCGAACCAGCACTAGGCAGGATTCCCTAGGCTGCTCCATCACTCCCTGCTATTCTGGGTCCAGGACATTCTCCGGCCTCACGCCGGACTCACGCCGGACTCCGCGTTCCCCTCTTCTCTGGCTGAGCTGTTTTTCGCCAGCCACTCGGAGAGACCGACTCCCCGCGCGGCAGGCAGCACCCCTCGGCTCTCACACTCATCCCGGACTGAGGCGTGGGGAGGGGGTAGGGGAGCCACCAACTCGCGGAAAACTTCCTCCTGGGAGGTGACTGGGGTTTTCCGGCTTCCCCAGCCCTCCCGCGCGGGGCCGCACGGCGATCGTTAAAGTAGTGTCGCAACTATTGCAGGTTCTGGGCTGCAGAGACCCGGGACGCCCCGCTGCAACGCTTCCCCGGCAAGGACCCGCGCCCTCTGCCACCGAATGCGTCTAGGACGCGGCCGCAGCCGGCCCGGGGCTGCTGGCAGGGGACGGCCAGTGCGCGCCGACTTTGCGCCACGATGCTTTGTTGTCCTGCCGCAGGAACCCGAGGCGGTCTCTTTCCACCAGACTTAACCCGCCCGCAGCAATAGCCATGGAAGTTGCGGCGGCACGGAGGGAGAGGGAACCGCTCGGCGCGGCATCTATTTTGGTTGTTTTTTCTCTACACAGTCCACTTCTTTCCTCCTTCTTGGGGTAAGTGGAATCTAGTGCGTAATAACGAAGGGGAAGAATTGACGGTGATGGAAGGGGACTGCAGTAACACAAAGGGTTAATGTGATAAGTTGTTTTCCTTGGGGCGTTGGGGGGGGGAACTCTCCCTTTATACCCTCCATCCCCCGCAGTCCATTCCACATACGCAGTTTAGGAGTTGGGACTTGATTTCAGGCACGTTAGCGGAGGGGTGCAGGGATTACTTAATTTTTGGTGAATCCCTCCCCACTCGTGTCGTCCACATACTGAGAAGGGAGAATGGAAGTGGAGGAAAGAAAGCCCCAGAGGTTGGGGGTGGGGGGTGGGGCAAGTGATTTAGCAGAGAGATCCTAAGGGCCTATGACTAGGGCAGGGCCTTATCCCACATCAGGCATTCTGGACCCCTGATCCTGCTCCCTTACCCCAGTAGGTCCATGCTAAGCCTTCCTAAAACCATCCTGCTGATGCTTTTCTGGGGGAAGGTTCTCCAAGGGCCCAGTATAACTTCTGAGGAAAACCTCCAATCATCTCATCCACAAGACCTGCTCAATGCATTGTTGATTGATTGACTGAATGATGCACCGTAAGGCTACATGGGAATTTGCCTCAGATAGTGAACTAATTCCCTGATGGAGGCCTTAGGGCAGCAGGGTAGCCCAATTCATTTTGCAAAGGAGGAAGGGCTGCAGTCCTAGATAATATAGTATTTAGATCCTCGACCCCAAAGAACCCATCTGACAACTTCAGGGTCAAGATTCATGGATCCAGGGACCAGATGCTCTCCCTTGGGTTTGACTCTCTGTGTTGTGACTTTGGGCATGTTCCTTTACATCTCTGAGCCTTGATCTTCTCATCTGTAAAATGAGGCCAGTTAGAGCTTCTTCAACATGACATAGAGAAGATAAATGGAGAGAAGTATGAGGCTGTGAGGGGCCATTTGATACATGTCAGTCTTGCTCCCCTATCCTCAGAGGCTTCGGGAGAGAAGGTGTCTTTCTCAGGGGGCACTTCTCTCTGACTCAGATGCAAGTAAAAACATTGCATTGCAGTGACTGGGCTGGAGCCCTCCTGCCTGTGAGCAGTTGAGGAGAGGGCGGAGTGAAGCTCTGAAGGCTGTCTCAGGAGCTTAAAAGCAACTCCCTTGGGGTTTTGGGGCAGAATTCACACACATACTAGTGTCTCTGGGGGCATGGCTGGAGAAGCAGAAATTCCTTGTTTGTCTCATTTCCATGTCTCCTCCATCCTCTCAGCCTTCTAGTAGAGGGAAACAAAGTGTGGAAATGGACTCCCAGAGAATGTAGCGGTCAAGTGGCTTGGGAATCTGCGTCTGCAGGGCTGAGGAGTCAGGGTAGCACCATCAGATTGGTACCAGGTGTGCCTGAATGAGGTCTGCAGAGAACTCAGGGTTCTGGTCCCAGCAGCCTGCAGGGTCAGTGACAAAGCACTTACCAACCCTTCCCACAGAGGACAGTGGACCTCTGTGGATCTTGCTCTGGGACTCAGAAGCCTGGATGTGACAGTGGGGGAAGGATGATGAGAAAGAATGCTGCTGTAACAGGGCTCCCAGAAGCCTCAAGGTGCTAGAGTGGCATACATCTAGAGTGCAACTGCCAGTGTAGGGCTTTAGGGCCACAGTGGGCAGGCTTGGCAATAAGCCAGGTAGTCACTCACTCTTTCATAAGTAAGGGCAGCAACAAACCTAGCTGGACCTCGTGGGCACTAGACAGTAAGACCCCTGAAAGCAAGGTCCATACCTATGTCGTTTTTCCCATACCACCAGCACCTGGCCCAGTGATGGCACGTAGAAGGGGTTAAAGATATATGTCGAGTGGACAGTGAACGGAGAGTAATTTAAACTGCTTTCTGTCCAACACTGCTTCATGCAGCTTATGCCTTCATTTAGCAAGTATTTCTTGAATATCTACTACGTGCAAGTCTCTGTTGCTAGGAGCCGAAGTAATTTGTAAGCATCCTTCATATCGGTACTTCGAGTGGCCCATTCAAGAGCATCTCAGCACCACCTGGCTCTTCTGGAGATCGAGGCCTCAGTGGGGGTAGGGGAAATGCGCCAGGTTCAGCCTCTTTCCGGGAACATGCGTGGAGTCCCTTTGCACTTGCTCCTGCTGGGCCCCCTGGATCCCGGGGCCGCTAGGTCTTGGCAACTCCACTTTCCTCTGGGGCCGTGGCCTCTCTCTCCAGCCGCCTCCAGGGCCTCCGAGTAGCGGCCCCGGCCGGGCGGCAGGTAGCTGGGGAAGGGACCGGGCTGCGCCTGGGGAGCGAGCTTCCCCGGGTGGGGAGAGCGCGGCCAACGCGGAGCGGTCCCAGAACAAAAGGCTCATGGCTGGCACCGGCCTCCTCCGAGTGCGCTGGGGACGCGGGTTCGGGGCGCAGGCGGGAGAACCGGGCGCGGGAGGGGGCTGGAGTGGAAAAATGAAGTGAGAAAAGAAGGCTGTGTGTGTGTATGCCCGGGGTGGGAGCGGCGACAAGAGGTCACCCCCGAGGCCGAGGTCTGCGGCGGGGCCGCCGAGGCCCTTCCTCCGCCTCCTGCAGCGCCTTCCAGGCAGCCAAGCGTGTCTCCGGCTGCAACTCCACCAAGCGCACCGCGGCCGCCTCCACGCCTGCCCGCCCGCCGGCCGGCCGAGCCAGTAAGTAGCGGGGCGCCTGGCGCCCGCTCCCCGCCCCGCCGCGGCTTCCGGCCGCCGCGCCCGCCGCCGCGCGCCGTCCCCCGCCGCCCCGCCGCCTCGAGGGCGAGTCAGCTCCCGGCCGCTGCTCCCGGCCCGGCGCCCGGAGCCCCGCGCGCCTCCGTGGCCCCGCGCCTTCACCCGCCGCGCGCTCTCCCGCCGTGGCTCGGCGTCTGCGGCGCGCTGCGGGGAGGGTCGCCCTCGCCGCGCGCTCCCTGGGTGCAGCGCCACTCCCACGTCCAATGGCTTTCGGGAGGTGGGGAGTGGGGGGCGTCGCCCGGGGGCGAGGAGCCGCGGCCGGGGTGGGGCGTGTGCGCTGTGCGCGGCCGAGCGAGGCTGACGTGCCCGCCGGAGCGCGCGCCCGGGCGAGTGTGTGTGTGCGGGAGTGTGTGCGCACACGCCTCCGGGGGCTGGAGTGACACTGCAGTGGGTTTCTCCCTCGCGCCGGCCCTCCGGCTGCTCAGCCCCCCACCTGCCGCCACCGCGTTTGGGAAGCAGCTTGGCTCTTTTATCTTCCTGAGCCTCCCTCTCCATCCACCCCTCGCCAGTCTTACTTTTCCTTCCACCCAGGGGGCTGCAGCTGGCCACCCCTCAACCGGTGCCAACACCTAAGCCGTTTCCAGTCTCTCCTTAGCCAGTCTTTTCCACTTATCCTTCTCTGGGGTTCCTCCACGAGCCAGTCCAAGGCTCCCCCATCCTCGGAAATTGTTTTGTTGGACTGCTGTACCGAGGCGTGTAAAGCTTGAGGACTTTATTATTATTTTGATTCTTTTCATTTCCTCCCCTCTGGGCAACGGAGCAATGAAATTTCCAATCGAGACTCCAAGAAAACAGGTGAACTGGGATCCTAAAGGTTGGTATTTCCTACTTTTGGCGGCCCTCGCCCTGCCTCCATCTCTGGTGTGCGCGCGCTTCCGTGAGTGGAAGCACTCTTGCTCCTGGCAGCGTGTGTCCTGAGGCTGGAAAATGCGCCTGGGAGCCGCAGCGCGGGTGGGAGGAGGGCGGAGGCAGCGGGGGTTCCAAACCCAGATAGTGCCTGTCATTACCACATAATCATTGTCCCTCCTGGATTGTTCCAAAAACCTATTTAAAGATACACCAAGCCAGCTGTTTGGCTTGAAATCACACCAAGTGTCGGTATTTGCTTTTGACTTTATGTGTGCGAGTGTGTGTGTGTGTGTGTATGTGTGTGTGTGTCCTTTGTTTCTGATGATCTTTGTCTCCCTGGCAGATGGGTGGGGTGCCTCCCCCTGGACCTGGAGCTGCGCCGCCTGCCCAGGGTGTCCTCAGTGGGAAAGGTTTCCTGGCAGCAAGTGGGGCTTGGATCTGCAGCAACGGTCCCTGGAGGTGGCCCTTCCCGGAGGGCATATGGAATAATGGAGCCCAGGGGGCCTTTGGAGTCTTCCCTCAATCTTATTACCAAACCAGGCAGCTAGTTTGGCTCAGATCGGAGTAGAGGGGGGAGGGGGGAAGGATTTGCTAGAAGGGTGGGGCTGCCAGGGGCTGGGGAGGGGGCACGGAGTGTGTCCGCCTGAGCAGTAGTGTGGTTTACACGCTCTGATGCATGTTGGACACTGTTCCCTTGGCGCAAAAGAGAGCGACTAAGACAGATTTGTGTGTGCCTAGCGTTGACCACCGTTCTGTAATTAGCATACAGATGTTAAGGCCCCTCCTGAGTGATTGGTGTGGGAGCAGAACAAGTTGAAACCAAGTGTCCAGTTTTGACAAGAATGTGCTTTATCATTTCTCTCAGCTCCTCTGAAGCTGGGTCGGGCTAGGCAACACCTCTGTGTGTATTGGGTTGAAATTGGTTTATTTGATGTGTGCAGGTATGTTTAATGCTTTTTTACGAGTGCATTTATTCTTTTCTCCAGACCAGAAAAGAGGAAACCCACTTGTTTGTTGAGTGAATGTCTTATAAACTGACTGGCTATTATAGAATGAGGGAAGATGTGTTGCCTGTTTCAACCCTGAAACAGTTACACCTTAATACAACCCAAACCCGAAACACTTTTGTCTGTTGATCTCTGGAAAGTGTGCCTTGGTTTATTTTATTTTATTTTATTTTATTTTATTTTATTTTATTTTTTGATCCCTGTAAAATGTATTTATTGAATACCTACTACTTACCAAATGCTGTCCCTGGAGGTATAGTCAGAATAGTATAGACAAAGCCTTCTTGGAGTTTATAGTGAGGGAGGCAGGCCTAAATCAATCAATGCACAGAAGAGTGCATAATTACATGTTTATGTATGTTCCATGAAGGAAAGCATCAGGATTTTAAGAAAGTGATAGATTGACAAGGATCAGGGAGGGTGGGTAGTCAGGGAAGGTAGTCAGACACTTGTACTGAGACCTGGAAGATATGTAGCAATTAATTGGCTACTGAGGAGGTGAACTGACCTAGAAGAGGAAACAGCAAGTGCAAAGGCCCACAGGTAGAGGGGACATGTGTATTTGAGGAACTGAAAGGCAGTTTTCATGGCTAGAGTGAACAGCAAGGGAGAGTGGCTTGTGGATCCATAGGGTCAGACCCCAGAGCCTCATGTTGTTGCAGGTAGGGTGGGGCTGTGGGGTGGGGGTAGGAGTGTTGCCTTTATCCTAAGCCACTGAAAGGTTTCAAGCTGAGGAGAGACATGATCTGAACTGAGTTTCAAAACAAGTGCTGTGTGGCTCTTGTGGATGTGAGGGACCAGATGCCATGGTGACATGGACCAGGGTGGTGGCTGTGGGATGGAGAAGTGGGTGGGGTAGGGAGCTATGGAGGGCAGGAAATCAACAGGTTTTGTGTAAATAAAGTGTGGACGTAGAGTCATTGGAATGACTGGGAAGGCAGCTGGGGCAGGACCAGTCTTGTGGGAAAGCTCGTGAGTTTAGTCTGGGGCTTGTTGAGGGGGGGATGTCCTGAGCCATCCGAGAGGTGTGTCAAGTGGGGAGTTGTCTAAAATGTCATATTGGGATCTTCAAGGAACTCTGGTCAGGATGGAGGGCAGTGAAGCTTGTCTTGGCTTTGAGAATATGTTTCTATATGATCATCATTGTATATATTTATATCACACTGCTAAACACAGATGAATCCTACATTTTACAGCTTGACACAGTGAAGCAGTACGCAAGTAGCATCTCCAGTCACAACTGATGGTGCTAAAAATGAAAAGACTCTGATAAAAATACCAACATTTAATGAGAAATCTTTGCATGCCAGGTGTTTTATGCACATTATTTCATATAGTTATTCTCATAATACTTATCCAATGATATCAGTGCTTTGTCCCCACTTGATCGGCATCAGGATACCACTGAGCTACCTTCCAGTAAGATGCTCTGACTTCATGTACAATTGTTCATGGGTGAGGGTGACAGTAGTCTTTTCTAGCCAGGGGGTGGAGGCAGGAGAAGGGTCAGGAGTGAGGGTGGTACATCTCACACCTGATAGAACTATGTGTCAGGTGCTGTGAAGTGCTTTACATACATTAAAAAATAAACAATTTATTATTAACTAATTACAATTTAACTAGAAGAATAAATTATTTAGTCTTCTTTATTTAATCTTAGGAGGAAGATGCTGTCCCAATTTTACAGGTGAGGGAACTAAAGAACAGAGAGGTTGAGTAACTTACCCAGGGTCACACAGCTAGTAGATGGTGGGGTTGGACTAGAACAGGGGTCCTTATACATTCTTTGAGTCTATCTCTTAAGTCTATCTCTTAAATTATTGGGACCTCTGGCTCTTGCCTGGTGAGGCTTGCAGAGCTCAAGGACTGGGGAAGCTCATTGCAAGGAGAAAGAAAACAATAAAAAGGAGTTGGGAGGGGCAGGGGAGGGAAGATTGAAGGAGGAAGAGGAAGAAGAATGCCTTTTCTACTCATTCCTTTCTCCATTAACCCATCTGGCCAAACAGCATCTCTTCCTCTACCTCTGGTGGGCCTGTCACTGGCCACTGGACAGACTTTGGGTCTGTTCTTTGGAGGTTCAGGTTTACACAGACAGACCAAGTATATTTAGCAGGGCAGGGATGACGGGGAACCTAACATTAGAATAGAACAGGGGAGAGACAGTTCTATGGACTGTAGGATTTGAGTATTAACAGACTTGAACCTTCAGGTGGAGATGCTCACAGATTGTGGAAGGAAGTTGTAATTAGGATGTTTTGCTCACAGTCCCATTACCTGACAATTTAATAGCACAGAATGAAGGTGGATTGAGAGCAGATTGGTTTTGATTGCACTTGCGTGAATTAAGTGAAGCACTTTCAAGAGGTTTAGGTGCAAAAATAAGACCTAAATATAAAATGATTATTCTCTGGTGAGCTGTGGCCTTCCTCCATATTTGTAAAGCTGAGGCTACAACAAATAGAGTAACTGCTTTTGTAGGACCAACAGAAAAGTAGACTGGCACTGAGTCTTGGCTTTCATGTGCATTTTACATTGCTGGGGTCACTTGTGGTTGATTTTTTGCTGAAAACTGGGATTGGTTTGCTGTTTTTGGGGATCTTAAGGGCTTTTAAAGATTTTATTTATTTATTTGAAAGAGAGAGAGAAGGACAAGGAGGAGAGGGACAAGCGGACTCTGCGCTGAGCACAGAGCCCAACTCGGGGTTAGATCCCATGATCCTGAGATCATGACCTGAGCCAAAATCAAGAGTTGGATGCTCAACCAACTGAGCCACCCAGGTGCCCCTCTTAAGGGCTTTTAAAAATCAGTAAGATCAGCAAACGATATTGCCACACTTCAAGTCAAGCAGATCAATATGGTACAGAAAACTCTGGATTTGGGGGCAAAAGAATTAGTTTCTAGAATGAGCCATAGCGATTATTAGCCATGTGACTTTGGGCAGCCCATTTAACCTCTGGGTTTTGCCCTCCTCCTTTGTGCAAAAGGGCCATTGACATGGCCTCTCTGACCCTATCTCTCCAACCTCTTTCTTGATTTGACCTCTGGGCTGCTTGTCTTCCTTTTGTTCCTCAGGTGGATCAAACTTGTTCCTGTCTCAGGGACTTACACTTGTGCTTTCCCCTACTTATAATGTGTGTTCACATGGCTGGCTCCTTTCCACCTTTGAATCTCAGCTCAGATGTCACCTTTTTAACAAGGCCTTCCCTGTCCCACCTGAAGACCTCTCCTCTTGTTCCCCAGCCCTGTCACTTTCTATTATGTCACCTGCTCAGTTGTCTTCCTGGTACTTGTCATCATCTGAAAGCATCTTACTCATGTGTCTCAGATGATGCCAGCCTCCATTGCTAGCATGTGAGCTTTATGAATGGAATTTCCTGTCCCATTGACTGTTACGTCCTCAGTGCCCCCAGGAAGAGCCTGGAATGTAGTAGGCATTTAGTAACTTTTGCTGAATGGATGGATGAGTGGGGGATTGGAATGGAGAGGATCTCTAAGTCTTCTCATATGAAGGAAATTCCAGGACTCCTCCAAGCTACAAAGGGCAAAGTACAACTAAGGAAAAAGGAAGGATATCCCTAAATAATGGGGTATCGGAAAGGATGCAGATATTCCCTCTTCTTGCAAGCTCCCATTTCTCTGAAGTCTCCAACAGACTTTTCCTTCTGTTCTCCCTTTCACCAGGAGTGAGAAGGTGGGGCGGGAGGGTGGGTGGAGTGTGGAGGTAGGGGCTGGGGCAGGGAGGCCATGTAGTCTGACAAAGATATGGTTGGTGTCCAATTAGTAATTTGGCTCATGTTGGCCATTGACCCGTAGCTCTTTTTAGGTATTTAAATCTACTTAAGGAAGAAGCAAAGCTTCAGAGCTGGAGCTGTTTTTTGTTTTTGTTTTTGTATTTTTTTTTAAGGCTGCCTTTTCAGTGCATACTTTAATGCAAAATTCCAGAGAGGCCTATATTGT